ACAGTTCTCATTACTGCTATATATCTTTGTATAGTAATAATTGACAAAAATAGTGAAAAACTTATCTCAGATGAAGAAGATCTCGCGCAAGTAGTAAAATATTATGGGCGTGTTGTTCAGCGTGACAAAAATTACGTATTATTGATGTGCGCATGCGCAGTAAGCCTTGGTAGGACAATCTGACGGGTAGGATGGTATGTCAGAACACCGGCTTGTTTAAATAAATTGGATTTAAATAATTTTAAATTTATCTCAAAATGATGGATGACATTTTAATAATATGGAAATGACCAGAAGTTAATGCAGACACTAATTCATATGAGGTAAATAAAGCTGCTTGGTTTATATTTTTGTAATTGTAGGCCTAATAATATCCAACATTTTAATATTATATTGCTGTAATGGCCCAATGTTTACGTGTTCACTATCTTTCTTTGCCTCCTTTCAGGATTCATAAGCTAAAACATGCCTTTTAAATGCTTTTTCGTGCTGAACTGCTTTTATATCCTTTTTTATTTTGAACATTCAGAAATGTGTTAGCTATGGCATGAAATATCTGATCTTCCTATTGTCAAATATGGTAAATGGACTGCATTTATATAGCGCTTTAACAGACCAAAAACAGAACAAATAAATGCAAGTTGTGGGAGTGTTTTGTTGTTTAAACACCTTTATAGCGATCGCGTTAGTGAGATATGGGCGCCGCCATGTTAGTTTGTGCCACTGTTCAGAGAAGCGGATCTGTTGGATTTACAACACAAGAATTCATCCAATTCTCACGAAATATATGAAAGTAAGTGGCTGGTGAACTTGTAGAATAGAGAAAACTTTAAAGTTGATTACACAATGTGTATATCTGATATAAATAAAACATATTATGTCTAATTATAATGGAAATTATTATTATTGCCACTTGTATTTTACAAATTCTAAATGTGCTGTTTTGATAGTTGTGTATTTAAATTTCTGAAACCTTAAATGAACATTAAATAGTTGAAAACACTGAATAGTTATGATATATGACATCACTGAGTGTGTCCGTCTCGGGCTCAGCTTAGCCAACGCGCGGAAGCACATTTGAATTTAGCCATTGATCACGTGATGCACTGACCGTTCCACTAACACCGGTGTGATCGTACGCTCGAGGGACCAGCCATGACTGATCACATTATAGAGAGATACCGCTATATGCTAACTATGCTGACAATACTGTCATGCTAACAATACTGGTCGTCTGACGAGCCCGCTAACCAGTACAATGAGCGCTGCCTTGAGCTAAAATATAGTAAGTGCTTTGAATGTTCATTAACATACATTTAAATAAACATTATTTCATTGAGTATAATATACGTATACGCTTCTTTACGTATGTACTGTAAAGAAGCCGTTCGTGTGTGCGAGATGAACCAGCAAACGTCAATAGAAACAAGCTACTTTAACTCATTACTTTCCTTTAGAAATGTTCAATGGAAGTAATAAATGTGTTTTAAAGAAGGCTAATTTTGTTTGTTTTATAGTTTTTTTGTAAATGATAATTTTTTTAAAAACTCCATTAAAACACATTTTTTTATAATTTGGGTATCGCTCTACAGTCTATCTCTTTTCTTAACACAAGTTAGAATAAGTAATATGGCATCCTAAAATGACCACCAACAGTATATATATATATGAAGAGTTCAGATGCAAAAGCCTCTAAATGCCATTTGAAATTTTCTTCTAAAATGACCATTTTTATCAAGCTTGTATATTTAAGTTCAGTAATTTCACTTAAATTGCAATGAAGATTACCTATTAATTGTCATTTAAGTGAAATTACTGAACTTAAAAATACAAGCTTGATAAAAATGGTCATTTTAGAAGAAAATTTCAAATGGCATTTAGAGGCTTTTGCATCTGAACTCTTCAATATATGTATAATGTTTGAAGGGGTGGTATAATGCCCTTCTCACAAGATGTAAAGTTAATCTCAGATGTCCCCAGAGTGTGTATGTGAAGTTTTAGCTCAAAACACCCCACAGATATTTTTATATAGCATGTTAAAGTTGTCACTTTTTGAGGGTTAGCAAAAACGCACCGTTTTGTGTCTGGCCCTTTAAATGCAAATGAGCTGCAGCTCCAGACACAGTGGGCGGAGCTTCAAGAGTGTGTGTGTGTTAGCAGCCCCAAATCATAATCATCCACCATTTTTTAGCTCTTCAGGTTTATTTCTTTGCTCTTTGCTGACCTGTGGCATTGCTATGGCCTGCTTGTGGCCCAGATCTGGCAAACAGGAGCGGCTATTTAAGAATTTCTGCTTCAGCTGTTTATTTTTTAATTATTTATGAAATTTACTAGTAGTTAGTCATTTTGAAATGGAAAAAATTAAAAGTAATTTTACACATTGTTTCAGGGTAATGTTAGCAAATTCAAAAGCTGTGTTGCTCTTAAACTCAATGCATTGAAACTTGTGATTGATATATCCAACACACTGTTAACAGTTTCAGAGTGTAATTACAGTTTAATTGCATTACTTTCACAGTAATTTAACGTAAAAAAGGGGGATAATAACTTCAGGAGAGGTTCAGTCATGATTTCTTCCTTCTGATGAACACAAATAGAGATATTTTGAAGAATGTTGGTAACCAGACAATCAATGGACTGACTTGATTTACAACATTCTTCAAAATATCCTTCTTTTTTTAACTTCCTTTAACTTTCCCAAAATCTCTAAATTACCTCCAGATGTAACAACGTAAAGCACTGCTGAAACAGTTTATATACAGTTTAAACACTGTTACCAGTAATTTACTGTTAATTGTACAGTTCTTTACTGTAATCTACAGTGTGTTACTGTATGCACTAATTTCACTTGCAGAAACCAAGTGTATTTAAAATGTATTAACTAAAATGTATAATGCATAAATAACGTGACCAAAGTAAAAAAATACATAGTTCCCACATGACGTCACAACATACGGGCATTTGCCGACCCGGCGCCATTGCTTAGGGCAAAACATAAGAAGAAGCAATACGAGTTGAACGAAGTGAAATGAGTTTCGTGCTATAAAGTGAAAATGGTCATCTCCTGCTGAGTCAATGGATGATAAAATCGTGCCGGATGTTCAGTTAAATCGGGATTTTACACTATACCCGTCATTAGACTCCATGGATGTGAGAAGACTAAGCTTTTGTCCGAACAACGACGGAGATTATGGCTGGCGAGCATAAACAGGAAAGAAACTCACTCAAAACACGCACGAATTTGTTTGACAAAAGCACAATGTTGTGTTTTATTGCGAGTGTAAACGAATATAAGTTAACACATTGCAGTTTGAATAATGTCCTGTATGAACAAAATGACGAGGTATTAAAAACATACAAAACAACATTGTTTCCACTGTTTGATCTCACTTTCCAGCATTGCAATCTCAGATTATGTCCCTAAAGATCCCGCATATAACGTAGTTCCGCATTACATTAATTAAATTGCACGCGAGTTATTTATTTTTAGATTCATGCACCGAACCATGACGCCCGCAAGTACATGCATATTACAGAAAGCACCGGTGACTGTTTTAAGGGGAACATAGGAATTAAGTTGTGCAGGCTATGGCTTTTTAATAGACAGATTAGCATCATGCTACTTCGCTATGATGACTAAGTTACTTTTCAATTGATTGCACTTGAGCAAACGTCACCAAACCAACCCCACGTCAATCTGATCGTACACCTCCAGTGATTTCCAGCCTCGGAATTGCTCACATGTGTAAAAACTCCTCACCAATACCAGATAATGGTACACATGAAAATACTGTATCTGAGGCAAAGTTGCATAATCGGTGCTCAGTGCTTCCTTCGTTACTGCATACGGATCCACACTATTTATGAATGAAATGTTCGCATTGTACCTCTCTCTGTCTTGTTTTAATAGTCTCTTTATAATCTATTTCACTTTGTCTTTTCATGATTTGCATAACAATATAAACATAAATAAATATTTGTTTGTAAAACGACATTCTCTGATAAAACTTTGTAAACGCCTATGGTAAACACAGCGGTTTTGCCCTCAAAGATGGCGTCTCCGGGGAGGTCACGTGACATTAAATCGCCTGTGGGAACTATGTATATAAATAAATTGTACATAAAGAGATTTCCACTGGATCGGCAACTACACAGTCACTGCGTGTTAAATAAAGCAACACACAGCGAATCATCAATGTTTGTAGATGTTCTCCTGGACTGAAGCACAGGCTGTCGACGTTAGTTTTGTTGTTTAGACGTATGCAGCGAGATCTTGATCACAGTATTGTGTAATAAACATTATTTTCCATGAGATATGTTTTAGTAATGTCTAAGTAATGCATTTTAGTACACTGTAAAAAAAATGGTAACACTTTACAATAAGGTTCATTAGTTAACATTAGTTAATGTATTTACTAACATGCACTAACCATGAGCAATACATTTGTTACTGCATTTGTTCATCTTTGTTAATGTTAGTTCATGAAAATAAAGCTGTTCATTGTTTGTTCATGTTAGTTCACGGTGCATTAACTAAGATTTTAATCAAGTATTAGTAAATGTTGAAAATAACATTAACAAAGATTAACAAATGCTGTATATGTGCTATTCATTATTAGTTCATAGTAACTAATGTAGTTAACTAATGTTAACTAACGAACCTTATTGTAAAGTGTTACCAAAAAAAATATTGTTGGTTCAACTTAAGAAATTTAGTAACCTGGTTGCCTTAATTTTAAGTTGATTGAACTAGAAAAAGTGAGTTAATACAATGAAGGAGATTGATTTAATCATCAGAAACTCAAAATTATAAGTTATCTGAACTAAATAAATTATTTAAGTTGATTTGACAAAAGAAAAATGTGATCTTGAAAATATTTTTTTTTTTTTACAGTGTAATGACTGACGTTCTGCTATAGATTGTTACAGTCTTTTCAATTCAATTCCTAAATTTTTCATAATATGTCTATATTAAACTAGTGTGAAAGGACACTGGACAATGTCAGTCAATTCACGATGTGTCCTCAGAGATGTGGACATTATTGAGTGCAGTTTTTTCCAGAGTAATTTTCATATAAATCAGATCGACGGCTTCGTGAGGTTTAATTTGCTGTTTATTTCTCACACTTTCCTCATCAGCACTGAGCTTTAACAAACACATGTATACTTCAACCATCTATCACCAATCACCACAGATCTGTTTCAGTTCATGATCGAGATGTTTGAGCTTTATCTTTTAGGCATATGTTCAGAAATAAGTTCAGATCACGAATGAGGAATTGAATCTCTGGTGTATTTGATGAAGCAATGATCTTGTGAGGTGTAGATGAGCTCAGATTCTCATGTCACAGAAACTCATTTATATCTGTGATCTGGATCTCCTGGATCTCTGGAAATCCATTACATGTATTTATCTAAACTCTCAATAGCGTCATGTTTAGAGTATCTTCTCCATTCATCTGGTATCTCAAATGTTTTACTGTAGTGTTTTTCCAGATCTTTCTGGAATCGACACACAAACCACTTCCAGTAGGGCAGTTCAGAGAGGTCAGAGGTGATGCTCCAGTCTGCATACACTCCTCCTGCTCTTCTGTAATCTCTGTATTTAAACCCTCCATGTAGTGTATACAAATCCTGATGACTTGCTACTAAATTTGTGCAAATATCAGGACAGAGATTCGGTATTGAGCTGTAATATGCTCCATTGATTCCCCACACTCTGTGGAAAGGGACACTGTGATCTCCATCATGGTTTTCAATGGTGTTGGTGCAGACGGCTTTACAGAACGGACACTGAACCCAACAGCACTGGCAGAAGTGACCAATCAGAAGCTCATCTGGTCTGTCCTTATAGTCCAGCTTTACTGGAAATGTCATTATGTTGAATCTACTGCAGATGTCAGTCATTATCGCAGTTAGCTCATGTCTTATCACATCTTCTAGGAAGTTGAAATCATCAACATCATCATGTTTCACTTCACTGAGGTCTTTTTCAGAGAAGATCAGCTCATCTGAGAGCTTCTGTGAGAAACTCTTCAACCACAAACCCACATCTCCTCTGTAGACTTGAACATGTTCAGTAGATTCATGAGCTGCTTTCATGATCTTCTGCTTCAGGAGTTCAATGTTCTTCTTCATCTTGTGTATAATGCTGTCATCAAACATGTTAGAAATGTACCGACTGACTTCATCTCTGATGAAACTCTTGAAGTGATCTCTGGGTTTATGAATGTAGTTCATGTATTTGTTGAAATCCTCTTCTTCAGCCAGTGTCTTCAGGATGTGTTTCTCTAGTTTTGATCTGTTTCCATTCAGTGATTCACACTTTGATCTCATTTCATGTGTCAGATCTCTGGCAGTCCTCTTGTAGAGACTCTGCTCAATGGGCTCTTTAAGTTTCTGACAGATGATCTCTCCAAAAATGGCAGCTGATGCGACTCCATGACAGTATTTCTGGAAAATACTGTAGTACTCTTCTCTTTTTTTGTTAACATATATTACAGGATCATTGGCTTCTCTGAACAGTCTGTGTTGGTCAGTGATCGTCTTTGCTCTCATACAGATAGAAATAATCAAATCAACAAAAAATTCATTTTTGAACTTATATGTCAATGTTTTTTCTTGTTCTGTTATCCTCTCCTTGATGTAATCTATGACCTGTTGAATGTAGCTCTTGTTGTAGCCCATCTTTGAAATGTTAAAACACTGAATAATTCTTTCTGTCTGCTGAGCAACATCTGTGACAAATGATCTTATCTTGGCTTCATCATCTTGAGGTCGAGGAAATCCAAGTTTCTTCACATTTCTGTTAATACTCGTTATCAACCTTTTAACTGGGTTGTTTGGATTGTTGAAAACAACATATTCAGAATAACTTTCCACAGTGAAAATGTCGTTGTACTCACTACCATCTTTCCAGTGGTCTACAGGAACGATTTTAAAATTGTCACCAAGGAGTAATTTCACATCTCTAAATATATCAATGTCTCTGATTGCCTGAGTGTCTCTGGGGATCTTATTAACACTCTGATCCCAAAACAAATCAAACTCTTTCTTCAGTGTTTCTTCATCATTTGCTTTGTTTTTGAGTTTTAAGGCAAGTTCCTTGGTCTTTTCATAGAGAGTGTTTTCATGTTGTGTCCTCAGATCATCAATCTTTTTCTTCAGGTCTCGCTGATTAAGAATATCATTTAATCTCTTCCTTGTTTCTCTCACAATCTTTTCCTGAAGCTCTTTAGTTTTGATTTCAAATGATGTTTTCCACTGAATCAGTATATCTTTATCTCTGTCTTTCTCAAAGAATTCAGACATTGATTTTTCCACTTCTTCACTTGTCTTCTTCAGTTCTCTTTGAAGATCAGTTTCCTCAACCTCATGGATTGCTTCATTTTCTATTTGGTTGTGTAGTTTGTTCTCAGTTTCCATCATGGCACTGTGAAGACTCGAGGACCACTTGCTGTATTCGGTCTCCAGTTTCCTGTAAACTGAAATCTCCAGAGCAGTTCTGAAGCTGAAGACGAATCGTTCCTTCAGTAAAGCCTCCCAGAGATCTTTAACACGATCTTTTAGGTCTATCAACATCATTTTATGTGATTTTGAGGCATGACACATAATAGTTTTCTTTAGTTCTTGAATATTGTCGCAGTACTTTGGGTTTGGTGGTGCCATTGGTGGGCTTCCCTCCCAGAGCTGAGCGAAATACTTCACATCATTCTGGACATCAAATCTAATGACATCACTGAAACATTCTGCATTACAGACTTCCTCTTCAGCAGCGAGTTTTGTCGTCTCATCCAGTTTCTCCAGCAGTCGTCTCCTTCCCTCCATGTTTTTCTCTCCAGCTGAGACGTCTGAAACGTTCTGATGTACAAACACACAGCGGGGATTCAGTCTGACCTTCGTCATCCTCATGAAGGCCTGAATGACAATCTGAAGAATGTCCTGCATCTCAGATGGGTTTTCTCCAAAGATGTTGATTAGTGTCATATTTCCAAGACCAACAACAAATGTGGCCAATTCATTGTCATGATGTGTTGTTGATCTTCCAGCCAGTTCTAGAGCACGAAGACCCTCAGTATCAACAACCAGAATATAGTCCAAGTTCATCTGTGTCTTCATCTCGTCTGAGACTCTGACCAGCTGCATGAAAGCTCCTCTGGTTGTTCTGCCAGCACTGACGGGAAACTGGAGTCCAAACATGGCGTTCAGCATGGTGGATTTCCCAGAGCTCTGAATCCCTAAAACTGACAGCACAAAGACTCTCTGGTCTCCCAGTTTCTGGATGAGTTGATCTAGAACAGCAGAGATCCAGATCACAGGAACATGAGCAGCATCTCCATCCATCAACTCCAGTGGAAACCCAGAGATCATCATCTCTGCTGCCAGACTCGGGAGAGAAGAGAAGTCAAACTGAAGGTCTTTCTTGTGCTTCTTCACAGATGAACATGATTCATAGATCTGACCGATCTCCCTCATGATGTGCTCCAAACCAAAGGATACAGTCTGAAGTTCCTCAGATATTCTCTCAAGGTCAGTTTGTTCAGCTGTCAGTTTTTGAGATTTATCATGATAGTCTTTCAGTTTTAAGACTGTTGACCATTTTTCATCATACTTATGATGTAAAGCAGCAAGACCTGCTGATGTAGATTCATCCAGGAGGATTATTAGCCATTTAAGGAAAAACATCTTTTCATGTTCACTATGTGAGTTTATTTCTTTAATAAAGTATGTCATAAACACACTGACGTCAGTTTCATGCTGCATTTGACGGATTTTCTTCATTTCGGTTTGTTTTCTACTGATGTCCATTTCCAGTTCATTTCCTTCAGGTCGATGTAGTTCTTTGTTCTTCTGACACCACTGACGCCACAGTTTCCCCTGATGAGGCAGAAATGAGTCTTTGACTTCTGTCAGATCTTTCTTCTCCAGTAAATCTATCATCTGCTGTGCCGCTTCTCTCCCTCTCCTGCAGTCTTCATCATCTTCCTCATCTACTCTGATGTCTGAGTGTTTGGACAAATCTTCAAGTCTGAACGTGGAAGATGATTCTGAGAGACAATCATTTATAGCTCTTCTGAGTTCTTCAGAAACATCTGACCGATTTCTGTTTTTCAGATCAATCTTATATTTCCCTTTCTTTATCTCAATTAAAGTAGATTCATCCTCAGTAAAAAGACAAATGAGAGGCTTTGAGTCTTTGTACAAGTTCTGGATCATTGCTGCATGTCTGTGACTCTTGTCCAGTCGTGGTAGAAGAACAACATTGACTGAGGCCAGTTCAGTGAGGATCTGCAGCTGTTTCTCATGATCTCCTGCATCCCCGTGTAGATTACAGAACGCAACACAGTCCGTGAATTTATCATCATATGATCCAGACGGGCAGAACCAGGCGATCTCCACCACTCCATCCATCAGGACTCTGGTGCTGCTGCTGCCTGGACAGTTCCTGTGGAAGAACGTGTTGTGTCTCTCATTGATCAGACTGTTCATCAACTCAGACTTGGATGAAGACACAGATCCAAACCTGAAGAAAGACACCATCGGAGTTTCTGCCTTGCAGACCGGCTGGGTTTGACTGATGATTTCATTGTTGGTGTTTATCATCTTCCAGCTCTTGTTGATTTGTCTGAATGTCCAGAGAGGAAACTCAATCTGTTGAGTGAATGGATTAGGAACGAGCAGAGGCAGAGCATACTGACACTGGGACAGTTTAGTGACCAGCAACTGCTTCAGGAAACCATCAGCATAATGAAACACGGCCATCTGAACATCCATCGGGTGGATTTGATCAGACTGACTTGTCCATTCGTTAGACAAAGACATTACTGTAAATATATCACCATCATCTTCAGATGAGTCATTGTCTTTTTGTTGTGCATCTGTAGTTTTAATATATCTGGCTCTGTAGTCCATCATCAGTAGTTTTTGTATGAAAGTCTGAATCAGCTCCTCTTCAGCACAAGACTCACGTGACTGTAATGAATACTCAGTTATCTGAAGAACATCTGCAGCTCTTAGTTTATTGTGAAGATAAGGTGTGTAAAACACATCCTTGATTGTTTGTCTTCCACTTCTCTCCAGTTTTTCTTTAAAGATCTGTTGTTGATCTTCTCTTATTTTTATTTCTTTCCGTCTCTTCTCTACATCATCTAGTTGTCCCTGTCTCTCTCTTTCCATTCTCTCTTTCTCTCTGATTATTCCCTCCATTTCAGTCTTCAGTCCCTGAATCTGTTCATCACAAATGACTCTTTCTCTCTCTCTCCTTTTCTCACTTTCTTCTCTTTTCTCTCTCTCACTTTCATAATTCTGTCGTTCTTTCTCCATCGTCATCTCCATTGTCTCTTTCTCTCTGATTATTCCCTCCATTTCAGTCTTCAGTTTCTGAATCTGTTCATCACGAATCTGTTTATCGCTCTCTCTTCTTTTCTCACTTTCTTCTCTTTTCTCTCTCTCACTTTCATAATTCTGTCGTTCTTTCTCCATCGTCATCTCTTTCTCTCTGATTATTCCCTCCATTTCAGTCTTCAGTTTCTGAATCTGTTCATCACAAATGACTCTTTCTCTCTCTCTCCTTTTCTCACTTTCTTCTCTTCTCGTCTTTTCCTCCAGTTTCTGCCGGTCCCAATCCTCTTGTTCTCTTCTCATCCGTGTTTTATATTGTTCTTCTCTTTCTGTATATTCATCATCTCTTCTCTTTCTCTCTTTTTCATGATTCTGTCGTTCATTCTGTATTCTGTCCATCAGACTGTCTATTTCTGTCTTGTATGTGATCTGAAGTTTTTCTTTTTCTTGCTTCATTTCCTCCATTTCTCGTCTCATCTCGTCCCGCATCTTTCTCTCGAGCTCCTCTCTCTCGTTCATTTCTCTTTTAAATCGTTCTTCTCTCTCATTGAATTCTTCTTCTCTTCTCTTTCTGTCTTTCTCATGATTTTGTCTTTCATTCTCGATTGTGTTCATCAGTCTGTCTATGTCTGTGTGGTATTTGATCTGAAGACTGTCTTTTTCTTTTTTCACAGTCTCTTTGTCTTGCCTCATTTCATTTAATTCATCTTTACACATCTCTTTTATTTTCTTCATTTCATCTCTCATCTGCACCTCCTGTTCCTTCGTTTCTCTTTTATATCGGTCTTCTCTCTCTTTCTGTTTCATCAGTTCTTCTCTTTCTCTGTTCATTTGCTCCATTCTCTCCATCAGGATCTTCATCTTGTTTTCTTCTGCTTCATGCTTAAGATCTTCTTTCTCTTTCATTAATGTTTTATATCGTTCTTCTCGTTTTATACATTCCTCTTCTCTTTTCTTCCTCTCATTCTCGTTTCTGTTCATCAGTCTGTCTATTTCTGTCTCGTATTTCATCATCAGTTTTTCTTTTTCTTTCGTCATTTGCTCTATTTTATTTTTAAACATCTCTCGTTCTCTTTTCATTTCTTCTTCTAGTTTCTTCATCAGTTCTTCTCTGTCCATCAGGATCTTCATCTGTCGTTCTTGTTGTTCTCTCTCCATCTCTCTGAACATCTTACACGAGTAGAAACTCCCTCCGTTTGCTTTCACCATGTGGTCTATCTTCTCCAGTAGATCAGAAACCTGTGTTCGGTCTCCAGTCTGATTATTGTTGAACACATGATATCTGTTTCCACACTCTTCAATCAGGTTCATCAGAGCAGATCCAGGTCTTCCCAGAAACTGGTCAATGGTTTTATCCTTCAGGAAATCTCCTCTGGTGAAGAGCACCATGGTGAACATTAAAGATTTCTCTCCAAACGTCTCTTGGATGATCTTCACTGATGTTGCTTCTTCTCGAGTGAATCGTTGTCCTAAATTGAGCACAATGATGAACACATGCGGTCCCGGCAGGATCATGGGAATGCAGTTACTGATTTCTCTCTGGATCTCCTCATTAGTGAGTTCAGTATCAAACAGTCCTGGAGTGTCGATCACAGAAACGCGTCGGCCGTTGATTTCAGATGTTTCTCTCTGATTCTCTTTAGTCACTGATTCATGAGATGTTTCTGCTGTAAACGCTTTTCTTCCTAAGATTGTGTTTCCAGTTGCACTCTTCCCAACTCCAGTTTTTCCCAGCAGCACAATCCTTAATTCATCTTTACTCTCTGTTGAACCTGTAAAAGAGGAAAATAATTTAAAAAAATGATATGCAATATACTGTAGCTAAAAGTAATATTGTTACCGCCACCACGAAGCTCACTGTATTTGCAAGGAAAACTAGGAGGAATATAAATTAGGGCTGTGCAAAAATTATTGCGATTAATCGCATCCAAAATAAAAGTCTGTGTTTACATAATATATGTGTGTGTGCTGTATATAATTATTTTGTATATATAAATACACACACATGCATGTATATATTTAAGAAAATGTGTTTTTCATATATAAAATATTTATATTTTTTAAGCGCAAATAATTCTTAAATATATACATGCATGCATAGGTATTTATATATACAAAATAATTTTATACAGCACACACAAATATATTATGGAAACACAGACTTTTATTTTGGATGCGATTAATCGCAATTAATTTTTGCACAGCCCTTATATAAATATATAAATTATAAATAAATGGCGTTACTAACGGCGTTATTTTTTTCAGTAACGAGTAATCAAACTAATTACAGTACTGTTCCCTCCGTTAAAGTTGCTGACAATAAAATAAAATAAAACCGAGTGTGTCCGAGAGCGCGCTCAATAGTGCTGCGTCCCAATTCGCATCCTATCCGCCCTGAATAGTATTCAAAAATACAATTAGTACGTCCCAAATCGTAGTATGTTGAAATGAGTGATCCAAAGAGACCCGGATGGTCTACTATATCCGGTCAGAATCTGAAGTGTAGATCGATGCACACGCTAACGAGATTCGGTTAGAACTACAAACACGAGTGAAAAGTGTTAAAGAACTACAGACATGGAGGATGCGCGAGTCCGGCGGTTGTGTTGAGGCGTTTAGAGAAAGGGGTTTGAGTGATTAATTATCAGTATCTAACTTGACGAAAATGTATTTATTCAGTGTTGGTTACATTATATTGCATCTGCAGAAGAATTGTGAACTTTTGTAAAGATACGTAAGACATTAACTTTTAAATGCATCATTATATTCAAACTGAGTCTCCGCTTGAAAGACCCACGACTAGCAGATGAACGAGCGACAACATTTCTCTCCGAAATGGTAAGAAATTATATTAGATTGCAGACTGATCTCATGAAGTAGCGTGTGTATGACATGCCAATTCGTATTTGCATTTTTGGTGTGCTGTCAACACGCATAGTCGCTTTTCAGCGTGTTTATGAACCCAGTTGACGCTAAGTGCAACCACCCAGAGTTTGGTTCCTGGTATTCATTCTTTGCATGTAATTCCACTACTATGCAGTAGGGGGCTCCAAGTGCCATGCTCTGTTGTATATAGCTATGTAGGAGAAGAAGTTAGGACAAGGAGTGGAAATATGGGTCGGCATCTATACAAAATTCAAGGAACAGTTGGTTCAGTAAGAAAAAAAATTGGTAATAGAAGGAGGGATGTTATAATTTCAAAAATGCGTATTGGCCATTGTTTATTAAATCAAAGTATGGCCAGGATTGGGAAATACCAGACTGGATATTGTGACAAATGCAGTTCAGGAAATATGGAAACAGTAGAACATGTATTGTTAAAGTGTGAGGCGTATACGAGAGAAAGATTTAAATTATTACAAGAATTAAGAGAAATGGAAATTGAAGATTTGTCTATCAAAGCATTATTAGGGAATGGCCCAAAGCAATTTAAAATATATGAATTATTATTTCATTTTTTAAAGGATACTCATTTAATTAACAGGATTTAGGTCAGTACTACCATAACGTTATCCACACTCCAATCCAGTAGGTGGCGGGAATGCATCATTAAAGTTTGGTTTGCCAACTGCCATTAAACCGGAAAGAAGAAGAAGTTAGGACAAGGGTGTGGAGAGAGAAGCATGGTTCTTCTCTTTATCCCCACACAATTTGTTTAGAGTCCAGATTGAGAAACTATTGTTTCAAGCTCAATCAAGTAAGTGTTTTTCTTTCTATGATTAGTTATTTCAACCGAAGTTATTTCTGTGTAAGCTGTATTTTGGGGGAAGGGGTTTCGGCTATTGTTTGGTTTAAAAACAACATCTAATGCCAGTATGTATTTGTTTTGTTTGTAGAAGGACTCTTTGAATATAATCTGTTTGTCATATGTTTCGATGAGTCTCAAGGCTGCAATTTGACTTGAACATGATAATTCAATACTTGACTGTGGTCATGGGTTTTGCAATAATTGTGGATTACACCTTGTAACTGCTTCACTTCTGTCACGGGACGATTATTGCTCTGCTCGCCATCGCTGCAAATGCAACCATTGACTCTATTGACTCGTTTCCACTGAGTGGTACGGTACGGTACGCAATTATTTGCGTTTCCACTGTCAAAAGTTGTGAATGGTACCAAAAAGCCGAACCGTACCGTACACTTTTTGGGTACCCTTCCGTTGGGGTACCTAGCACAGTGAAAGGGTACTAAAAGGCGGAGCTAGACTCACTGCAGAACGCTGATTGGTGGACGGAGTATCGTCACTCGCGCGTGCTACTGTTATTGTGTCACGAAATGTAGTTTTAAGAGTTTTTCAGGCGAGAAAGTAGTTTTTTAAAGCTCAAATCTGTGATTTATTTATAGATTTATGATAATTTGACTGAGATCCATTCCAAGGGATCACTGGACGCTCGCGCTCGTGTCCCGCGCCTGGAACAGCCTTTCCTCGCGACTCGCGTCCTCGTGATCATTCTTCTGATTCGGACTTTGCGTTGGCTACTTGGTATTGAGAAACGTCTAATGCCAGCGATTGTTTCTAGTGACAAACATGCCGAGAAGCAAGAACAAGATCTGCTGTCTGTAATCCATTTTTGTTTACTATGGCTACGTTCACACTGCAGGGCTTAATGCTCAATTCCGATTTTTTGAAAAAATTCGATTTTTTTGCAAGGCCGTTCACATTTCCAATTAAATGCGACCTTTTGTGATGTCCTGTGTGAACGTGAAATGACCCAGAAGTGACCCGCATGCGCAGAAAAGTAATCAACAGTCAACGACGTCACTTGTTGTTTGCGGAATAGTTTTTTTTTTCCATATTATTTCGAGCTTTTGTTTCATTATTATTATTATTATTGCCACAGCCCATAACACAGACAACAATTATTTTATCGACGGGCAGTTTGCACATAAATGTAAGATTTTTCTGATCCTCACCGACCTCGTCATAAAACCCGTTTAATTGATAGTACGCGTCCTCGGCGCTCCTTGCTTTGTCACCTGCGGCCGCGGTGAGACACTGGTGGCTGGTGTTGCCAGATTGGGTGTTTTTTCGCTACATTTTAAGGCATGTATACATGTGTTTTAGCCAGGTTTTCGCCTGGAAGGCTCTATAGAAATCAATCTGGCACCCTATGTACAAAGTTATACTGAGAGAGAGCGCACGTTCACAGACACCAGAATGAACGTGTTCACAGTAATGTTCATCAGGCAGTAATACACTATATGAACGCGTTCATGCACTATCGTTCATTGAACGCGTTCAGGCACAACTCTGAGGAAGAGACACGTCTGCAGTGGCCCATAACAGTGCAGAAACGCGTTGGAGTTAGCGTGTTTTGGCTAGCTACAGGTGCGTGCAATGACGTGCGGGTCGGATATATGTGATATCGGATTTGGACCACATACCCAAGTGGCCTGGGTCGCATTTGAAAAGATCGGATCTGTGTTGTTCAGACTGTCATGAAAAAATCAGATACAGGTCGCATAGGGGCAAAAAAATCGGAATTAGGTCGTTTCAGCCTGCAGTGTGAACGTAGCCTATGTCGCTTTCTTCGCGCGAAAATGACGTCACTTCTTTCCAGCATACCACGCCAATCAAGTAAGGGTACTGTTAGCGGTGGAAACGCAAGCCAGATCATGGTGTACCCGACCCGACCCGACCCGACCCGTACCCCTCAGTGGAAACGAGCCATATGACACCAAACATTGGATGGATTGCAGATTTTCTAAGGTTTATTTGTACTGCTAGTCATCAAACAGTATTGCATTAGTGTGAAGCCATGGGGTAGGTTATTATATATTCAGTGTTTGCTGTGTGGTCTTTATGTAAATACTTTTGAGTGTGTCATCGAATATAAAGAACCACATTTTTTTACACAATTATTTGTTGGCCAGTTGTGCTGTGCAAAAAATATTAAAAGTTCATCTATTGTGTTTTGTTGTTCCAGTTTAGTAATGATACTATTTTAATATTTAAGTTAATAGGTTTCTCTTACATTGTCCCACAGCAACATTAAAATAGTGTTGATTGTTTTATAATAATATATTTTTCTATTTACTGTCCATTTCATTCGTTTAACAATAATACGCCTATGTGACGTACAACACAGAAGCGCTGCAACACAGAAGGAGTGATCCAGCTCTCAGATTTAATCAAAAATATCTTAATTTGTGTTCGGATGATGAGCGAAAGTCTTACGGGGTTGAACAACATGAGGGAGAGTAAATACTGAATACAAAATTTACATTTTTGGGTGAACTATCCCTCTAAGCTTGATCTTTGACCTTGTTTTATTTTTATTTTAGAAAGTTCTGAATTTCACCTGTACTGTTGTAAAATACAAAACACCACATAAACGATTCAATTTAGTTCATTTCCCATCTAGAATTGCTCTTTTTAGTTTAAGAGTTTAGTTTAGTTTACATTTTTCTGGTCATACCTTGTGACAGTAAATTTGTCTCTAGTGAGTCGAGTTTCTTCTTCATCTCTTCAAATTGCAGCAGTTTCTTCATCTGCGCCTCCAGAAATGTTTCTGTGGAGAAAAACTCTCCTCCGTTTTCTTCCACCATCTGCTTAATGTTCTCCATCAACGTGGACACTTGTGTGGTGGGACCAAAACATTGTTGTCGTCCTCCAAAACTCTCGATGACAGACTGAGTTCCTTCACTGAGCTCTGCTGAAGTTATGAGGATCATGATGTGTTTGTTGACTCCGGAGCCGAATATCCTCTGGATCTTCTCCATTTCTGCTTTGTCTTCATTATTGAGTGGAGCTTCAGGAACTATGAGGAGTAAAACATGAACTCCAGGATGACACAGAGACACACAGTGACGCATCACTTCCTCCTCTGAGAGATGAATGAGAGCCGGGAGCTCCACCAGACTGATCAGACGCCCATGAAGATCCACGTCTGATCTTCTGTCTTTCTGCTGCAGGATCAGCTCTGATATGAACGACTTTAATGTGTCGTCACTTCCACACACAGCCAGATTCAGCTTCTCTGAAACTGATAAAGGGAAATAAGTGCTAGATTTGACAAACACAAGCAGAATTTGTGATTATTTTATTTTTTTTGCATTTACAGCGCTAAATATCAGACACAGTTCATCAAATCTGTATAACCGTATCATAATGCAGTTACTGTAAATCAGTTTAACGTACAGTCGGGGCGATTCAATTCTGGACTACTTCTTTCCACTGAAAAATAAACACACACAAACAGATTGTTAGTGAATCTGGTGAACATTATTGTGTACTACACGAATTAATTAATTAAATTACACCGAATAAAGATATACAATCTGAATCTAAAAAGTAATATTAACAATCTTTAAAAAAAAAAATGCTCTGGTGAAAATGCAGCGTTTAATGTTGTCTGTGGTGTTTTTAATATGCTTTACATTCATAAGTGGACAGCATTGCTGAGTATTTCCTTCTTAAAACCGCAGTGAACCAAAGACAGTCTCAAAAACACGCTTTGAAATCGCTGGTGTAACTAGGGGTTTGACTGTGACGATATTTTCCCGGCGGCAATGTTGTGCCTGAACACGTTCAATGAACTCCTTCATATTTTGGGCGAACGTGAACTGTATTACTGCCTGATGAACGCTAATGTGAACGTGTTCATTCTAGCATGGGCGTAGATTACGCGTTCACCACTTTTTATACAATGTAAATTCGTCCCCAGCACTTTGTCTACGACAGCTGAGGTTTTCGCGGGTGTGTATATACCCTACATTGAGATTTAGGATCCAAAGAGTCAAGGATAGTCTATCTACATGCGTGACTTTCACGTTTCCATGGTAATCAGTCACTCGTGCATTAGCCTACGACACGCCCATCCCAGATAGCAAACTGACATTGAATCAACGAGGAAACGTGACATCGAAACAACGTTGATCTGGCATTGTTTTGCTCATCGAATTAACATTAAACCAACATCAATTGCGTCGATTTTCATTTAGCTTTGAAGAATGCCGCGTCTGACGATGGTTCAACGTTAATTCGATGAGCAAAACAATGCCAGATCAACGTTGTTTCGATGTCACGTTTCTACGTTGATTCAATGTCAGTTTGCTATCTGGGATGGGCGTGTCGTAGGCTAATGCACGAGTGACTGATTACCATGGAAACGTGAAAGTCACGTATGTAGATAGACTATCCTTGACTCTTTGGATCCTAAATCTCGATGTAGGGTATACACACCTTGTTGGATTGCAACGTTGTTTCCTAGATCAACGTTGCAATCCATTTCATAGAGTTCAAAATGGCAAAAAGAAAACTCTTCACTCCTTTTTCACGAAAAAGTCAAGCACTGTAAGTCATGCAGTGTCCGTGAATTTACAACAAAACCTGTTAATTATTCAACAAGAGAAATAGGCGGAGTTATTCATCATTGTGCAACACAATTCGCTACCTGAATAAACATGCAATATAAAACTTTTTTTTACTCGTAATGCATTTTATTTTCACAGATTTGTTATCAAAGCCCTTCAAATTAGAATAAACATGGTGAATGTTAATGCTGAATTGTGAATTTGTATTTAATAGCCACTCGAATCAGGATTGAATCAGCGTTATTGTAACATGTGTACATGATGTTTATTATAATTTGGTAACATTTTACAATTAGGCCTGGA